GGTGACAGAGTCTCAAAGGAAGAATGGCTTTTCCAGCCCTAACAGCTCTGATCACAGGAGTTCAATACAGTGGTGGAGCTTAGCAACGAGAGGACACAAATACACAAAATTTTCCATTAAAAGTTATGATAGAGAAGTCCCTGGTATATGATACCAGAGATGAACAATTGGAATTTAAAAATCATGCCATACTCCCATTTAATTAACAAAATGCATATAAAGGATGTAGGAAGCAAAGGAAAATTCAAGTCTGACCAAGCCAATGTGGATACAGTTTTAAGAACACCCTCAAGGTTTATTATAACAGACATTTCACACAAGTACAGTTAACAAGGCATAAATATCAAAGGTGGCAAACTAAAACTTAGAAAACCATCAGTTAGGCTCTCCTGTTTGTCCCCATAAGAAAAATAACTGACTTATACAAAGCTCATAATTTCTTGTATCAATTATCTTTATCCCTTATCCTTGTCTTAAAAAAAACACAAATCCCTCTTTTTGAAAGTAAGGGGGGTGCTGATAGGAACTGAGGTCTCATTCCCCACATTTGTGCACCTGTGTTAGGGTGAGGTGTGGGAGTGGGCCCTTCGCTGGGCCCCCAGACCTGTACTAGCATTCCTGTGAGAAAGAAGGCCTTCTTCCCCCAGCTGCCGGGTGCTGGCAGCGGGACTCCCAGCAGTCTGCCCTCTTTTGATCCCCTCTGAAGAGTCCCCCCGGACCAAGGCCGCCGTCCCTCTCCTGGGCAGCCTGCATTCAGAAACTGGAGCCACTGCCCTAGGAACCTGGCCTCGTCTGCTCTGGGGACAATCTGCAGGGTCATTCCCACTTGGCTGAGACTGCCCCGGGCTCAGCTCCTCCTTGTGCCCATCCTCCTCCGCTCCCTTTCCTTCCACAAGTGTGGATCCCAGGACATAAGGGCAGCTAGAGGGAGGAGGCCCTGGCTGGGTGTCCACTTCCCAGCATGCACCTGACTCGAGGGAGGAAGGTCTTTGCGGGCAATGGGCCCCTCGACCACACGGACTCCACAGGCCACAGCCTCGAAGCCCATCTCACAAATAACACAGGAAGGAAGGAAGGGAAGCTGGGCCGTCTTCCTCGCACAGATGCCGGAAGCGGACGGCAGAACAAAGAGGACGCTTTGGGAAGACTGGCAGGGGGCACATCGGAAATTCGGGTGGGGCTTCGGAGACCCAGGCAGGCCGGAGGGCAGCTGCTCAGCCCACTCCTGGGGCTGTCTATCCCTGGTACCTCGGTCGCACCATGCTAATTACATCAGGCTCATTAATTCAGCCCGAGTGTAAATTAGGAAGGAATGAAGATAAATTAGGTTTGAAGGCAGCTAATACATTTAACCCCATGCTGCTTATTTTGCAGCCGAACAAAATAACGTTGTTAAGGGAGATAACAAGGCCAAAGCCTTGGGCACAGCTTCTTAATAGCATTAAAAATGAGACACTGGTTTGGTGTCACCAGGCAGCGCCGAAGACAGCTCCCAGGGGCGGACAGGACTGGCCTCACATCTTGCGTGAGGTGGTGGCCATTGAATAACACGGACGTCTGCAGCATTTCCTGAGTTGTTTGTGACTCAGACATCTGCTATGACTACCATCGTCCAGTTTGACCACAGGCCTATCTAGAGAGGTCTTCTCGCACAGATATAAGACTTACTCATTTTTTTTTTTCTTCTTTGTAGGTGAAGTGATAAGAATTACCTTTAGGATTGGCTGAGAAATGGAGAAATCACACAGGTTTTGTTGCCGTGGTCATAACTATGCTAAATTGCAAACCACTTTCAGCTGGGAAATAAACATTAGCCGCTGCATGCTGGCTGAAACCTTTTCACACGTTGATTCAAACAAACCAATATGCCCTTTGTAGGAGGTCATGGGCAGTAAACACGTTTCCCCCCCACATGCAAGTTTAGTTCCTGAGTCTTTCAGCGGGAAACTGTTTTCCTGTTTTATGACCTACTTACACGCTCATTTCTTTTCTCTGCCTCACGCTGCTCATCTCCCCCAGGTGGAGGAAGCGAATGTATATGGTCACTGAATACATTTTAAGATCTTCCGGGTTACAGCTATTTTCCTTCTCTTTCCCTGAAGCACAGAGAGGTAGCAACATTAGGTAGCAGCAGACACAGGATGCTGGCATCTGTGGATGATGACACAAGGCATAGCTATTTTCAAAGAGAAGTCAACTTTGCGGTCTCCTTGGTTAAAGACACTTTGTGTCCAGGTGGTGCCGATGTAACACAGATTGATCTGTTCCTAGCTCAGTGGCCTCCTCTGACGAAATCTCCACGCCACCCTTCGCCCGGGCAGATCGCGCCCGCTCCCCGCCTGACGCTGAGACGTTCGCTCCTGTGTGTGTGTGTGTGTTAAATATATTTTTAACACACACACACACACACACACACACACATATCTACATAAGTGACCTGCAGAGGTGACCAGTCCAGCCCACTGGTGTGACAGGTTAGGAAACGGAGGCCTGGGGAAATGTAAATTGTCCAACTGGAGAGACAGCACAGCCAGTCCTAGGTAGATATGGTGCCAGACTGCAGTAGAAGGAAATATATTTTTATTTATTTCAGGGGGGAAGAAGGGAGAGGGAAAGAGAGATAGAAACTTCAATGATGAGAGAGAATCATTGACAGGTTGCCTCCTCCACACCCCACACTGGGGATCGAGCCCACAACCCTGGCATGCGCCCTGACCAGGAATCAAACTGTGACCTTCTGATTTACAGGTCAACACCCAACTACTGAGCCACGCTGGCTGGGCTGTTCTTCTTCTTTTTAAATATAACCTTATTGATTTCAGAGAGGAAGTGTGTGTGTGGGGGAGAAACATCAATGATTATGAAAGAGAATCATTGACAGGCTGCCTCCTGCATGCTTCTCCCCCCCACCCCCCTTTAGCACGGGTTCGAGCCCCAAAATTCCAGCCATGGCCCCGCTGGGGAATGGAACCCTGACCACCCCCCACCCCCACACCCCGTTCCTAGGTCCACGCTCAATCACTGACCTGCACCAGCCAGGCCTGAGCTGCGTTTTATTTCTAGGAAGTTCTAGGTAGATATGGTGCCAGACGGCAGTAGAAGGAAATACTTCTTACAGAGAGGAAATGTTAATCTCTTAAACACAATATTTCCCCACCCCCACCCCCTAAAGGAAGACAATAACATTTGGTCTTCAAAACCAGCTTGGCTTGCTTTTGACCTAGCACCTAGGCAGACAATACATTCCTATAAAGGCCCTGAGGCCACCTGATCTGCTCCCCCCACACCTCACCGCGGGCTACAGAAACAAGCTGCTAAAAGGCCTGTGCAATAGCTGTCCATTTCCCACCTCCCACCTTCCCAGCACCCATCGCTGGTGCCCACGGCGTCTCCATTCTTTCTGTTTCCACGGGTTTTATCCGCGGCCCGGCCAGGAGCAGGGGCTGCGCACGTGGTCCTCACCAGCCAGCCCATCCGGCCGCCGCCGGCTTTGTGAAGCAGCCTCGAGCTGCGACTCTCTACGTACACATTTACAATACGGAACAGATTTGTAAAGGCTCACGGTGAGGCTGACGACTTCATGCTAACAAAGGACTTCAGAGGGCACTCTCTTTCTTTGTTTGCAAGGAGCTAATTTTCTCAGCGCGAATACCAGGGGAAACCGCGGGCAAAGAAAAGTGGGGTCAGCATGGAGAATCGACAGTGTTGGTGTCAGCAGCTTCAGCCTCAGCCTGCAGGGATCCCGGCTGCGACCGGCACGTGAAAGAAAGCTGGGGGGTGGGGTGCGGGGAGGCTGAGCTGCAGGTCCGCGTCCCCGAGGACTGGCTGTGCTGTCTCTCCAGTTGGACAATTTACATTTCCCCGGGCCTCCGTTTCCTAACCTGTCACACCAGTGGGCTGGACTGGTCACCTCTGCAGGTCACTTATAGATTTAATTCCAAATTATATATATATATATATATATATATATATATATATATATATATATATATATATATATATATGTGTGTGTGATTTTTTTTAAGCGGATGTTTTTAGCTCCCTTTCTTTCCTCCCGGCCTGCGGCGCTTCAGACACGTGAGTGCCGGCTTCTTAGCTGAACTCCCAGACGCTCACGGCGGAGCGATCAAGGACCGGAAGGGTCGGGGCTCAGGACGCGGGAGGCGGCCCCGCCGGGGAGCGGGGCGGCGCCGCGGGGTCCTCTGAGCCGTTCGCTTTGAATCAAGCGGCCGCGGCGATTGGCTGTGAGGCGCCCGGGCCACGCCCCTCCGGACCCGCCGGGGCTCCGGGCCGCGTGGGGCACAGTCCGGCTCCGGCTGCCCCCTGGGTCCGGGGTAGAGCGGTCGGGCACCGGGGAGATGCCCGGGGCTTGGGTCTGTTTGGCCCTGCAGCCAACGAGAAACCCTACAGCCGGCTTTGCCCTACAGACAGTGTCTCCGGGGTGTCCCAAGTTGCGCCCCTTCTCACCCCACTGCCTTCCCTCCGGGGGTCCCATCCGGCGCGCGGACTGTGTGCGCCCTGGGCGCGTGCCGCGGGCCCCCGCTCGCTCCTCGCCACCCTTTCTGGAGCCTCCCGGGGGCTCCAGGGCTGCCCTCGCCGGCCTGCCCAGGGTGCCTCGGCTTCGGGTCTGTCCCTTCCCGGGGCCGGGCCAAGGGGGCTCAGACACTCTGACCCGGGAAAACTTTTCACTCGCAGCAGACATCCCTGCTGGGGACACGTCCACTCGCGGTCCCCGAGGGCTGCAGCTGTTGGCCGATGGCTGAGACACTGCGTCCGCTTTGTCTCCCTTCTCCGCAGTCCCCCACCCCCGCTTCCTTTCCCGATTGACTCCCCCGACACGCTCTTCTCCAGCTTTCTCCTCCTCCTCCGCCTCCTCCTCTCCCACCTCCGAAGGCTGCCTCCCTCTCCGGTGTCACTCACACACACCCACCCTCTCCCTCCCCGCCCCTCCGCGCCGCCCCTCTTATAGCCGGCGCTCCGGGCCCGGCGCGCACTGCTCGGGCAGCCGGAGCGGTGCGGCCGGTCGGTGCGGAGACCCAGTCCGGACGCCAGGCGGCTGCCGGCGCGCGCGGCGCTTCCCCGCTCCCTCCTCCTGCCGCGGCGCCTGCGGCCGCGGGCCGGCTCTCCCCGCCCGGGACACGCTCCGTGGGTCGCGGACCCAGAGCCCGCGGCGTGGGGATCGCGCGTCCCTCCCCGCGGCTGGCGCCCGGCACGCAGTCCCTTCGCCCGGGCAGATCGCGCCCGCTCCCCGCCCGACGCTGAGACGTTCGCTCCGGCGCCTCCCGGCCCGGCGACCGAGACCAGAACCCAGCTTAGTTGTTCCCTGAGGCCGGCCGTCTCTGCCGTAAGTTCCCCCGCCGCCCCGGACCTGTTGCGGGCTCCGCGGGTTTCAGGGCACACTTGGCCTGTGTGTGGGGGTGTGCGTCCGCGAGGGGGGTGCGCAGCCCGGAGGAGATGGGGAGCCCTTGTTGGGGTGGAGACCTCCGTGTTTTGCGGTGCCCTCCCACATTACAAGCAGGAGCCGGGCACCGCCGGAAGGGCCTGCCCTGGGCGGCACAGCGCCCCGGAGAGCTGGTGGGGGATCCGGGGGCGCCGCCTGGGAATGGTACCCGCCCTCCAGCCCCCTGCCCTCGGGAAGCGGCGCTTCCCTGGGGGTGCATTTCCCGCTGTCTCCTACCTCCCCGTCTCCAGGGCCCAGCGCGCGGGGTTGCTGGCCCACGTTGCGCCCTACCCGGCGGAGGGAACCTTGGCTTGGGCCACGCGCAGACATCCATGCTGCCCTGCTGGGGACACGTTCACTTTGGCGAAATGTCTAGGAAATGAATGAAACCTGGAATTTTCCCCCCTGAAAAATTAATTTCTTCTCCTGCAAAGGACAGTCTTTGGCCATTAGTGTAACATTATTCGTTTCAAAGGACAGGAATTGGTGGGCGGGGTGGGGGTGAACCATTGAACTTGTTGGGCTTGTAATTTGCTGTCGCTCTGAAACCCGGCCAGCCTGTTAAAGAGCATTGAGAGGGTTTTGAGCGTTTGAAGGGGGGCTGCATGGGGAAATGCTTTTCTTGCTAAAAAGATCTTTTCATAATGTTGTTTCCAATAATGTAAATGCTCCCCCCCCCCTCAAAAAAAATCTGCTTCGTTTATCCTTTGATTGCATTGAGATCAGGTTCAAAAACATAAGAGATGTGACAGGGACATCCGGAATTGGAGGCAGAGAGGGAAGGTAAGGAGCTTTACGTGAACTGAAGTTCCTGTACCTAGAAGTCCTTTTGATGTTCAGGGTAATAGCAGCCCTTTTCTCATCTTTGCAGGTTAAGTATATGTGTGCATTTTTTGGACACTTACTTGGCATGCAAATATTTCTCTGGGGGCTTAGAAAATGCCAGAAGGATGATTCATTTGAGGTTGAAGGTGTGCTTAGTGACTGTATAAATGATTCCTGATGGTATTTGGATGTTTGCTGATTTTAAACCAGAAAGCAACCTTTTCCATGGGCCTTCAAATATACCTTTTGTTTTAATCAAATATTGCTGCAAGAATATTGGGTTTTGATCGTAACCTGTTTCTCCACCTTGATGTTATCCAAGGTGACAGGCTAGGTTCTTGCTTTTGGCTTTAAGGGCCAACCAGGAAAATGCAGGTGCATCAACACAGGATGCACACAGATGCAGATCCTCAGGTCTTCTTCCGTTTTGTTAAGGGTGGGCCTGGTTGTGAGTCATGTTTGACATCCAGGTATTTGATACTCAGGGAAACGTGTTCTGGGCTCCTGGGATTCCTGGCCCGGATGCTTCTGGTGTTTGTGCACCTTGTGTACAGGTCCCTCATTCTTCAGCCAGAGCTGCATTTGCTCTTAGCCTGAATGGAGACAGCTTTTGAGGTTGCTTTGGCAGTATTTGCTTATAAAACAAAAAGATATAGCTACTCATTTGGGATTTTTGTAAGATTTTATAGCATCTTTTTTTTAAAAAAAATTTTAATGATTTTACACAGAGAGAAATTGAGAGGGAGAGAGAGTTAGAAACGTTGATAAGAGAGAAACATCGACCAGCTGCCTCTCGCACACCCCTCACTGGGTATGTGCCCTTGACCGGAATCGAACCCAGGACCTTTCAGTCTGCAGGCCGACGCTCTATCCACTGAGCCAAACCGGTTTAGGCTATAGCATCTTTTGATCTTAAAATCTTCCTCAATGTACTTCAGGTGGAATGCACTAATTCAAGTGACAAGCCACCGTGGTAAAGCTTCAGGGATACCAATAGATGTTTTAACACTTTGGAAACCTCGTGCATTCCCATAGGATCCTACCCGTTGTTCTTGCAACTTGAGCACCGGTGAGGAAAAGGACTAGGCTGGCAGAGGCGTGGCTTGAGATGGGGGTGAAACTTGGCTCCTTACCATTAGTTATATCTGGGAGACTAATATGAGACTAATGGGTGTTTGTCAAGTCTTGGTAACGCCAGAGCCCAGGACTGGGTTGCTTGTTTTCCTCCACTAAGCCATGTTTATGCATAATGAAAAGTTACATTCTGAAAATAAAGGGAAACAAGTTGCATCACCTAGTGGTATGCCGCCTGTGTGTTAAGGGCAAGTGAGGCACCTGCTTTTGTTTCCTGTGACACAGCTGGACAGGGAAGTGCAGCTTGGTATCTGTGGTCAGTTACTCATTTGCATTTGTTCATCATTCCTGGGATATAAATTAAACATAAATACCCGAATGGCTGGAGGAAATAAGTAGGTTTCAGCTGTGCTATAAGGACTGGCTGTTCAGAGCTTGGAATAGATACTGTAACCACCACCCAGGTTACTCTCCTGGGATAAACAACTTCCTTAGGAATCCTTTGACAGGCAGATGCTTAAAGCCTTTATTCCTTTGAAGTAAAAGAGAGGTAGAGTCTTGTGACTGCGTGTGTGTGTGTGTGTGTGTGTGTGTGTGTGTTTTAAGCATGTGGTTCAATTTTTGAAGATTGGTGATAGGAATTTCCTACGTCTTTAGCCTGCAATTTACTCACCGAGGTAAGCCGAAGATAGCATTAGATTCTGCTATAATTTCAATTTAGATACTGAGAAAAAGAACCCTTGAGTCAGCAAATAAATTCTAGGGTGGCCCAAGATTAACAATGGCTGGCAAAATACACATGCATGCATAGTCTGTGCACATTCGTGTGTGTATGTGTGTATTCTTTTTTATTTAGAGAAGGCAATGTTTGCATCTCGAACTCCCTATTTGCAGATGCCGGCATTAGCAGGTAATAAGAATGGTCCTGGTGATGCATTTCTAAATCAAAGAGAGGGGCAGATAGATCCTTTGTTCTTGCAACTGGTTTTCCAAGAATTGATAGAAAGCAGGTAGAACAGAAAAACAGCGCTTATGAGAATGCTAAAAAGATATTCTTTTATTTTATGTGCCTAAACCCTCATTTTGGAAGCTGTCCAGAGCAAGAAAGATGAGTGGTGATTGTGATCAGAATCTATTCTGTGTCTTCACTAAAGCCTGCTGATCAATAGATGGTAATGTGTCTATTAGGCCACTTTTAGGATTCTGTAGTGGTAGAGCTGTCTGATTGGGAATAATCTGTAACTTTAAAAGGATCCTATCATTGGAGAAGTTGCCTAAGCCTGCGCCTTTAATGTTCCATTTCCTACTCATTGTATATTGCAGGGAGACCGCATCTTAACCAAAGGAGTTCTTAATGGAATTAATTAGCAGGTATTTGTTTTACACATGGCTTTATGTTGCATAGGGCATTATAGCTGGTGCCTCTCCTGGCGTTACGAGGGCTGGAGGCCTGGCATTGTAAGTGGCCCGCAGTGAATCAGCTGGACAGGGACAGGGAGCTGTGAGAATGAGACCTCGCTTTTCCCGGCTTATGCTGACATGCAATTCTCAAGGACTTCAAGATCCTGGAAGTTGGCAGTCAGGTTTTCCAAGATGAACCTGCTTTCAAGCAGTGATTTTTTTTTTTTTTTTTTTTTAACAGTGTATATAGCTCAAACAGCTCACCAGTATGGCCGGGAATGCCTCTCCTTACAGGTAGTTGTCTCTGTCTCGGTACAGGAATGGCCACCCATGATTCGGAACAGGAGGCAAGCAGAGCTCACAGCAAAAACAGTTCTGTTCCCTCTGCCCCAATGGATCGCTACTTTGTACTGCTGTTTTACACATATGGGGAGCCCCCCTCAGTGGTTTTGTTTTGTGTTCCAGGAGTGGAAACAAAATGTCAGTCAGCGTGCACGAGAACCGCAAGTCCCGGGCCAGCAGCGGCTCCATCAACATCTACCTGTTCCACAAGTCGTCCTACGCTGACAGCGTCCTCACCCACCTGAACCTCCTGCGGCAGCAGCGCCTCTTCACCGACGTCCTCCTCCACGCGGGAAACAGGACCTTCCCCTGCCACCGCGCCGTGCTGGCCGCCTGCAGCCGCTACTTCGAAGCCATGTTCAGCGGCGGCCTGAAGGAGAGCCAGGACAGCGAGGTCAACTTCGACAACTCCATCCACCCCGAGGTCCTGGAGCTGCTGCTCGACTACGCGTACTCCTCCCGGGTCATCATCAACGAGGAGAACGCCGAGTCGCTCCTGGAAGCCGGCGACATGCTGGAGTTCCAGGACATCCGGGACGCCTGCGCCGAGTTCCTGGAGAAGAACCTGCACCCCACCAACTGCCTGGGCATGCTGCTGCTGTCCGACGCGCACCAGTGCACCAAGCTCTACGAGCTCTCCTGGAGGATGTGCCTCAGCAACTTCCAGACCATCCGCAAGAACGAGGACTTCCTCCAGCTGCCCCAGGACATGGTGGTGCAGCTGCTGTCCAGCGAGGAGCTGGAGACGGAGGACGAAAGGCTCGTGTACGAGTCTGCAATTAACTGGATCAGCTACGACCTGAAGAAGCGCTACTGCTACCTCCCCGAGCTGCTGCAGACGGTGAGGCTGGCGCTCCTGCCCGCCATCTACCTCATGGAGAACGTGGCCATGGAGGAGCTCATCACCAAGCAGAGGAAGAGCAAGGAGATCGTGGAGGAGGCCATCCGGTGCAAGCTGAAGATCCTGCAGAACGACGGCGTGGTCACCAGCCTCTGTGCCCGGCCTCGCAAGACCGGCCACGCCCTCTTCCTCCTGGGAGGGCAGACTTTCATGTGCGACAAGCTGTACCTCGTGGACCAGAAGGCCAAAGAGATCATCCCCAAGGCCGACATCCCCAGCCCCAGGAAAGAGTTCAGCGCGTGCGCCATCGGCTGCAAAGTGTACATCACCGGGGGCCGGGGGTCCGAGAACGGGGTCTCGAAAGATGTGTGGGTGTATGACACCCTGCACGAGGAGTGGTCCAAAGCCGCCCCCATGCTGGTGGCCAGGTTTGGCCACGGCTCTGCGGAGCTGAAGCACTGCTTATACGTGGTCGGGGGCCACACGGCCGCCACGGGCTGCCTCCCCGCCTCCCCCTCCGTCTCCCTGAAGCAGGTGGAGCACTATGACCCCGCGACCAACAAGTGGACCATGGTGGCCCCGCTCCGAGAGGGCGTCAGCAACGCGGCCGTGGTGAGCGCCAAGCTCAAGCTGTTCGCGTTCGGCGGCACCAGCGTCAGCCACGACAAGCTCCCCAAGGTCCAGTGTTACGATCAGTGCGAGAACAGGTGGACGGTGCCGGCCACCTGCCCCCAGCCCTGGCGTTACACGGCGGCCGCCGTGCTGGGGAACCAGATTTTCATTATGGGGGGAGACACGGAGTTCTCCGCCTGCTCCGCGTACAAGTTCAACAGCGAGACTTACCAGTGGACCAAGGTGGGGGACGTGACGGCAAAGCGCATGAGCTGCCACGCCGTGGCCTCCGGGAACAAGCTGTACGTGGTGGGCGGGTACTTCGGCATCCAGCGGTGCAAGACCCTGGACTGCTACGACCCGACGCTGGACGTGTGGAACAGCATCACCACGGTCCCCTACTCCCTGATCCCCACCGCGTTCGTCAGCACCTGGAAGCACCTGCCTTCCTAAGCGCGGTGCGTCCCACAGGGAGTGAGCGGCACGAGGTAAGCCGTCCGTGAGGCTGTAAGTGTGCGTGTAACGAAGGTAGCTGTGCAAGTGTGCCTGCGGCCTGAGGCATGGTCCATAGAGCCTATCCTATAGAAGTACTGCAAAAATAAAAGAGCTTGTATCCCAGAACTTAAAACACTTGTGTTGACCACAGCTGCGCACACACCCCGCCCCCACACTCAAACATGTGTAAGCCAGTGGTTCTCAGCCTTTACTGAGCCTCAGCGTCTCCCAAAGAGCTTTGCAACAGCTGCCCAGCCTGGAGTCTTGGTTTCGTGTGATCTGAGCGGAGCCCGGGAATCAGCATTTTGGAAAGTTTCCCGTGGTTCCAGGGGACACCAGGTTGAGAAACCCAGACCTGTGCTTGTAACGCCAACTAGTATTCAGGGAGCCCTCGCTGCGTGTCTGGAGCTGGGCTGTGTTCACAAGGATCGTTTCATTGAATCCTCAATGCAGCCTTGTGAGGTATCATTCCTAGTGCCCTTCACAGGAAAACACTTCGTGCACACAGAGGGAAGCCGCCCGAGGTCCCAGAGCTTAGTGGGCACAGGAATTGGTCCAGAAATGCACCCAGGCAGCATGGCTCCAGAGGGTGCTGACTCTGAAAGGCTGCTCTGAGAGTGGGTTAATGCAAGTACTCGGGCATCATGCTGAACTGCCCCTTCATAAACTTGACTCCATATCGCTGTCACCCCCAGGAGATACTTGTTGATATATGTTTTGCTTCCTCAAACCCTTTCTGGAATGAAATGTGGTTTTTTAAAAAAATTGAGTGCTCAAATTTATTCTTAGTGTATTCACTCCAAAAGTATTTACTAGGCTGTTTAATTTTTTTCTCAGATGTGTTAACGCTGGAGGGGAATTGAGGTCTGCCCCCCGTAAAAGGCTGCACCTGCCTTGTATGCGTTGGCCTGATGTGTGGACGCCCTGAGCCATCTAAACTGCTCTTACAGCAGCCGCCTTTCAGAGTTAATCAGACAGGCTGACCCCATTGTCAGCGCCAACAAAAGTTGTGCTTCTGTGTCATATATCTGAGTACATAATGGTTGTCTTGTGTACTTAAGAGTATATAATACTCGGCTCAAATAATTAATAGGCCTGCACAGTGCGGTGTTCGCAAGCTGTCAGGCAGTTTTAGGGTCAGCCCAGGAATGACTTCAGCAGGTCTGCGGGCAGCGCAGAGCACAGTGTGTTGATTTGTTTTGGTGATTCCCGGGCCCATTCATTACAATTAGTAAGGATAGACTAAAATTAAAACGCTGCTTTGGAGGGGCTACCATGAATAGTGAACTCCTTCCTTGGAAGCTTTTGGCTCTGTTTTCTGTAGCAGGTCTCACACCTTTGAAGGGAACTTTCCAGAGGAAAGAAAAGAAGCTAGGGGTCGTGGCCACCTAAGCAAAGGGGTTTTCACTCATTTGTCTTTTCTTTCCTCTTCTCTCACAGCTCATTGAAAAACACCACAAAAACTGGCCTCACTTTCTCACGTAATCTCTCTATCTCATTTCTGCAGTTATCTCCTTCAGCCTATTCCAGTCAGTAGCGTTCTTAGCCATGTAATGTTTCCTCGGAATGAAACTCCTCCAGAGGCGCAGGCACAGTCAGGAGCCTCTCTGGGGAGCGAGTTGGCAAACGGCGCCCCACACCAAACTGGTTTTTGCAGCCTCGCTGGCATCTCAGTAATCCTGAATAAACAAATGCTCTGCAAGTGGTTATTTCATTGGTAATACGAATGCATGACTCACCTCTAAAGCTGCTTTAAAGAACCTCCGAGGGTAAAGCATCAATTAACAGCACACTGAGTTGGGTGTTAGTCCAGAACCGATTCTGTTTGCACAGGGGAGCCATAAAAATTGCCAAATTGCCAGCGGCGGTGGTGGTACTTCAGAATGCTCGCTGGTGGAATGGGTTGGCACCCTTGGAGCAAGGTAAGGAAGTTGAGGCAGAAAGAGGTCACATGTGCATGTGGTTCTGGTTCTACGCTAGAGTCTGGACCTTTCTTGATTTGGCTCCTTTGTCCAGGGAGTGGTTTGCATTATACTTCCCCTAAGATCTGTTCCCAGTTCAGGCTTGGGTAAATTGTTGGGGGGGGGTTTGAGGAGGGGGGGCGAAAATACCTAGCCCAGAGCCTGGCTTATACCAGTAGTCAGTGTGCCAGTCAATAGTCTTAGGTTTCTTTCCTCCCTTCCACGTAGACCTCAGCTTGCAATGGAATTAGCTTTGTGTGTGGTGGGGAAAATGAGGTGTCTCTGCCTATTATATTCTGGTTCTCTTTAGACTTCATTTTTGGTGCCTCATTTTCCTCAGCCCAGTGTATGCAAACACTTGAATACATCTTATCCTGAAAAATTTGAACCCTGTCACACACTTCTGGTCCCAAAGAAATGGAGCAAAGAGAGTGCTGGGTTCTACGTGAAATAACATCTTCGCCCTTGGTGCTAGCAGCCGGAGAGTCCAGCATAGAACAATTAAATTGGATAGGGCCAGGGTTGCCTTCTGGCCTGATCAAAGCCACTCTTGCAGTTTCCCACAGGGAGGGTGCTGCTTAAAATTGCTAAAGGTTACTACACGCAGACAGCGTTAAAACGCTTAAGCTACATGGAGTGAAAAGGTGCTGCCGTAGGTATCACTCCACGGCCGCCAAAACTTCGGGACATGTCTTTGCTCCCCAAATGGAGGTGTTGAAGGGACTAATACAGTATGAACAAAAGTTTGCCCCTGGTCTAAAAGCTCATCCATCAGGGAGATTTTGACTGACTCCTGCTGCTCTGACAACGGGTGGGATGGGCAGAAAGGAAATTACTTTTGATTAGTCTGCGTTTTCATGGTGCTGTGTGGCCCCAACCTGAGAGCATTTAGATTTTGCTTTGTTTTCTTTCTTCCTTTTTTTTTTTAGAGTTTTCCCTTTCTTTGGTGATTTCTCCCCCCTCCCCCCCCATATTATTTCAAGATACATTCTTTTGGCCTACTGTTGATATATAGATTATAAGGAGATGGGGCAGGGGCATGACACTGTAGTCTAAAGAATGCCTTGAGAGCTTGAATCACTGTTATGAAATTGCCAAAGAAATGAATCAGAGCCCTAAACACACAAAAGCAAGAAGAATTCAAGCGCGGCCCCTCCTGAGTTCCCTTTGTGAATAGAGGGATAGGGCTGGAGATGGGCTTCATGAGGGTGACCGTGGGAAAGATGCACCGTTTGCAAAATTTTCCCTGTATCAGATCAGACATGGATGAGTGGGGAGGGTGGGTGTGTGAGGAAACGCCAGCTCCTGTGCAGGCTTCCTGGCTGTGGCACCTTGAATTTGTATTCACACTTGACGTTGGTGGATTCCGTAGGTAGTAACACTGCATACCATAGCCGGTGCCTCCCAAGTGCAGACTGATGCACTTTGAGAATAAACTCCAGCCTTGGGCTATTAGAGCCAGGGATGTTGTCATACGAAAGGAAGCGAGACTGATTTCTGCCATAATGAATAGCAGAGATGCATTTAAATGAGAGGATTAATACGTCTGCCGTCTATATGGCGAATAAATTGCATTTGGAATCCTTTACGGTAAATGGGCAAAGGAAGGTTTGCACAGGAATCTTGGCCCCCTGGCGATGGCTGCACAGTGGCTCTGCTTTGCCACGGAGAGGAATTGCAGGTGTTGGAAGCAGAAGATGGCAACTGATAGCAGCACCGAGACATATAGGTTTGGATTTGAACAGATATGTTTAGGAAAGACGTGGAGGCCCTTCTGTGGGACCCCATTGTGTCCGTCAGGTCAGCCATCTGCATACATGCATGCATGCATGTGTGTGTGCATTTATAACAAGCACTTCACATGTCTGCACGCTTTCTTCTGAACATATAATTAAGACCTTTAGAAGCAATATTGACCAGCTCTGTCCTGAGTTTTATTTTAATTAATTTATTTTTTCAGATTTTGAGGTTACTAACAAACATCTCTTCCCTCTTTTTTAGCTCAAGAAGTGATTTCTGTTTTGGAGAGGCCAAATTTAATGAAGGGAAAGGAGGAAAAAAAAACACAAAAGAAGAAGAAGTTGCTACAAGACCTGGATTGTACGATTGGCTGCACCTTGTAAATGCTCCAACTGGACATGAAGGAAGGGGGTGGGGGAGGGGTGGGATTTTCAGTGCAAGTAGCACATGGTTTAAATATGAATGAATGAACCTGTGATCTAGTCCTTGTCTTGTAATTGTGGATTAATGTCAGCATTAATCAGCCCCTCAAAGGGAGAGAAAAGCCGGGCCCTTTCCCTTGCTGTACCATATTCAGCGTTTGATTTCCATAGGCTCCACCATTTATGTGTAAAATTTGAAATGGTTGTCACCTCTCTCTGAGGAGCAAGCTTGAAGCCTCCTCGCCAGCTGCCGTTGGAGATTGAAAGCCCGACTGGAGGGCCGGGAGAGAAGCTGGTGCTGGCTGCAGAGGAGCCCTGGGCCCGCCAGTCTCCGAGGGGCTGTGCTCCCCACAGGAAGGTTCTGAACAATGGGGGCGTTGTTGGTAGCTGTTCGGTAGACGATCTTTTCTATTTATAAGTGACTTTAAGCTTTCCCTGGGCTGGTAAGAAATGTGTTATAGATTTAGCTATTTATTGTTTGATGCCTGCATGCTGAAAACAATGCTTACAGTTGTGTTCACGTGTATGGACGTGTGTGATGGTTGTAGGTTTTGCACAATTTTTTTTGTGGCTGTTGTGATGTGCTCTGCTGCACAAAAAGGAAAAACTTTGGAGTTACAGTTTGCAATATAACTGGAGGGTGGGATGGGAGGGTGGGGGTTGTTTTGTAAATGTCAAGACAGGGAAGGATTACAAAACAGAAACTTAAATTACACCCAGGAGGTAGGGAAGGCATGGAGGTCACATTTCTTAGACTTGCCAACTTCTCATGGCGTCTCATGGGCTCTGGGCATGCTGATGGCTCCTGGGGCGAGGGAAGGCTTCTTTCTGCCCCGTTTTTTCCCACCTGAGTCACCTCCTTCAGTCTCGGCTACTGAAATTTGGAAAGGACCAAATCTCTTTGCAGGTGTTTTTTCTCTTCTTCCCTCTCTCCCCCCTTTGTGTAATGTCCTGAAATCCTGGAAAATTCTATGGAATAATTCTGTATATAGGGCACAGGTGAAGACATAGTCCGAAGTTTATATATTTATTTATTTATTACCCTGAGAGAAGGCTTTGCCATAACCACAGTTAACGGGGGGAAGACTGCATTATCACCATCATACATTAATTCAGTCGCCCGATTTGCTGGACCTGGATTCGTTGTTCTTGCTGTACCACTTAGCAAGTGTGACAATGTCCTCCAAGACAATGTGAACATTAGTCCAATGTATGCCCAGTGCTCACCTGCAGGCAAGTCTCCGAAAGAACTCTTTGGTGCACACAACGGACACACTTGGTCACGAGACACCAAAGAATTGTGAGTGGTGGCCGCTGTTGAGATTTTCCGGGATAGTTGGGAACTGGTTGTGAATACATTCTTTGCTAGTTTGTGGGCTTTGTTTACGAAACTAAACACGTGCTGTGATAGGTGTTAGTATTAGACTCGAAGAGGCACTTCCTCAGAGGTGTCTGGGGAAGACTGGAGTTTGTTAACTCTGGCCCTGCTTTCATTGATGTTCCTCACGTTACTGTGCTTTAGAAAATAAGGTTTAAGATGGATAAGAACCCTTTACATTGTGAGTGTGTTTGCACTGTCTAATGACAGATCAATCCTTAACATTTCTCTGCACCTGGAAACTTTAGACTAATTGTGCACGCCCGTCCATGCCATGAGTACGTGGGCTGTAGTTGGACCAAAATACATGAGCCGTTGGAATAAAAGCATCCCAGTACTCTGGCAGTCAGTCTTTCGCTCTTAGATGTGTTGTAAGCAATGCAAATGTCTAATTGTACAATGGCGGCATGCATAGGGGTGGCGCTGTATTGTAGCAGTTACAGCTCTGTAGTTTGTGATGCAAATAGGCTGAGATGTGTGTCCCTGCATGGCTTCTGAAAGCAGGATGAATTTTCTACAGCTGTTTCAGAGTTGTGGTCTGTCCTTGAATCCTCTATTAATTACTGTGTGCGAGCCAGAGGGAGCAGAGGGAGCCGTGGTCAGGGTGGGCCCCCAGCCTGCAGGGAACTTTCTGGACTCCCGCTCTTTGGATTGATGTAGGCGTTGGGCTCCCTACTTGACCATTCTCACCCTGTGAAACGTCCCACACTTTGAAGCAAATACAATTCACACCACAGTGCACACAAAAACCTTGGCATAAGACCGAGAAGGTTCTTCTCATTCTGCGGACGGGTTGCTGTGGAAACGGATCACAAAGGGCAGCCTTCCACTTCTGGTGTAATTGTGTAGCCCCCTTTTCTCTGGGCTTGACACCTGTCTGAATAAGAGTGATTAGAGCTGAATAATATCCCTCTCGTGGCTATTGAGTATGTGGTTCACGTACAGAACTCTGTGTCAGTTGAAGAAGTGAAGTGTTCATGTTCATATGTGCTTGTTTTCCTGCTTCTACATTTTTGAGGTTTTGTAAAACTTATTTTTTTTTTTTCACAATGTGAAACTGAAGGTCAAATAAATTATTGGAGATTTTCTCTTCATTGTGTGTGTATGTGTGTATCTTTATTTGAATACCATATAATTTTAGCCATTGAAAATGTGCACCCTTTCTAGTTTAATCAAAAGGAGGATTATTTCAGATATTTTTTGAGTGCCCTTTATTTCACCATTAAGTCGCATACTTTTAGTAAAGCAGTTTTACACGTTAAATGATTAAAAACTTTCACCATTTAGGATATTTCTTTAAGCAAGGCAACATGGGTTATTCATAGCTTCGAATATAAAAAGTTCATGTACCAGCCGAAGCTGGTTTGGCTCAGTGGAAGAGCGTTGGCCTGGGGACTGAAGGGTCCTGGGTTCAATTCCGGTCAAGGGCATGTACATTGGTTGCTGGTAGATGTTTCTCTCTCATCAACGTTTCTAACTCTATCCCTCTCAATTCCTCTCTGTGTAAAATCAATAAAATTTATTTAAAACAAACAAACAAACAAAAAACATGTACCAAGGCAGCACACTTTATATTAGAAGGAATTTAGTTTTTGTCTTCCTCATGGCTTATATTTTGACGAGTTCAATCCTCTTTTCATCTGTCCTTGCCTTAGAAATCATTTAAAGTAAGTGGACCTATTATTTCCCCATAACAGCACAAAGTACCCGCTGGTACCCTGAGCTTCCTCCAAGTGGAGATCCGCCATCCCAGCCGGCTCAGCCTAAAGCAGATGAAGCCTCTGCCCACCTCGGGATGGCTGGTCACAGTGCGATGCTCCTTGGTCACTTGGGTCAGACCCCTGGCTGTGCTAACGTGCAGAGTAACGTTGGGCATAATCTTTTTCGGGTAGAAAAGAAATACTACCTAATTATCGATAGAATGCAGGGAGAGCTCACAAGTAGGCCGAGTGCAAGTAAGGCCTTTGGACTTTGACCAAGAGGCCTGACAGATGCCTCAGGTTGTACGGAAGCCTCGCCGAGTTCCATGTTGGGTGAGGCTGGTCTGGAGCCAAGCTGTGGGAACACGTGTCCTTAGACCTCAAGGACATGATGCTGAGGACCCATGGGAACCCTGTTGGTGACACCATGTATGACACCGTGTGACGGGGAAGAAGGGAGAGTGTGATTGGGACTCGACCCTCGTGTGTTGAGGAAAAGCTTTGATATGATTTCTCAGAAGGACAGAATGATTCCTGTAGAGACCACTGGGAACCAACCTTTCCTTCTCTGGAGTTCTTTTTCTTTGACATCTCCATTGAAACATGTGGGCAGATGGAAGAAAAGATACTTCAAATTCTTAATTTCCATTTATTTGGAAATTTTATTTAATTCAGACAGATCACCCGCACAGGGCCTGTATCAGTTTGGATTGCCTTCAGCTGCAGGTGGTAGAAAGCTAGCCACGGTGGCTTAACCACAGTGGGGAGACCGTTTGGAGGCTGGCGGTCCAGGGTGGGGCAGGACCCCGAGTGGGTCACTGAGCTCTTCTTCCCACGTTGCCCTCCTGGAATTGGGCCTTTGGTCTTCACGCCTGCAGGATGGCAGCTGTACTTGGTGGTCTCCTTGTGCTTTCCAGGCAGCGAGGATGGAGACAGACAAAAGGGAAAAGGCGTGTGCCAGATGAAGCCCATTTGGGGGGGCAATAATAGTTTTCCCGAAAGGCCCACTTAGGAGACTTCCCATTATCTCTCATTGGCCAGAACTAGGCCACATGAACTTCCAAAGAAATAAGGGAGCCTGAGAAAAACGGGGCCCATTGCCGCCTCACACCAAACTTGATTTTGTAAGGATGGGCAACTGCTGCATAGGGTCTGTGATGTTGGATAATCAAAGGGTCATCCTACATAATAAAAGCCTAAGTGGCACCATGCCCTTGTGTAACATCATCACAAGATGGCCACCAAAAGATGGCTGCACGCACAGTGGAGGTGGGTCCTGGTAGCCACTCCGTGGCTCTGTGCGGTGTAGAGGAGGCTGGTCCCAGCCTCTCCGCCACCTAGTGTGGAGGAGACGGGTCCTAGCAGAGGAGGCGGGTTGTGGCAGGGGAGGGCAATTGGGGGCGATCAGGCCAGCAGGGGAGCAGTTAGAGGGCAATCAGGCTGGCAGGCAGGTGAGCAGTTAGGAGCCAGTGGTCCTGGATTGTGAGAAGGATGTCTGACTGCCGGTTTTAGGCCTGATCCCACAGGGATATCCCCCGAGGGGTCCCAGATTGGAGAGGGTGCAGGCAGGGTTGAGGGACACCCTCCCTCCCAACCCTCCTCCCCACCGAACCCCCCTCCCCCCACATGAATTTTGTGCACTGGGCCTCTAGTTTTCAATAATAGCCCTGTTGATGGAGTGATCATGGAGTGCTCTAGACCAGTGGTAAGCAAACTCATTAGTCATCAGAGCCAAATATCAACAGTACAACGATTGAAATTTCTTTTGAGAGCCAAATTAAAAAAAAAAACCCAACTTCTTCTAACACCACTCCTTTAAAATACCCAGGCCGTGGTATTTTGTGGAAGAGCCACACTCAAGGGGCTAAAGAGCCACATATAGCTTGTGAGCCTCAGTTTGTCCACCATTGCTCTAGACTAGGGGTGTCGAACTCAATCAGAGAAGGGGCCAAAATCTAAAATCCAGCCTAAATCGCGGGCCGAATGGTTTACTGAACAGTCATAAACTGTCATTGTGATGGAAACGCAGCGGAGTGCAGTGATGACAGCGCGGTGCGGGCCACATTGCAAGGCCTGGCGGGACGGATTTGGCCCGCGGGCCTTGTGTTTGACACATGTGCTCTAGACTATTCTAAGGACATGCTTTACAATCTCATTTAATTCTCACAACCAGTGGAGGTAAGGATAGAGAAGTTTCTTAGCATCTCTGAGCCTCAGCTTCTGTAAAATAAGGGTGATTAATATTCTCTATCTCATAGAAAGATTTAATAATATCATACATTTAAGAGGAAGCACCAAACTCAGTGCCTGGCACATAATGGGTTTTCAATAATTTTCAGCTGCCATTTTTTAAACATGGGGAGACAATACACCCAATATATATATATATATATAAATCTGAGTATTCTGTGGGGAGGGATTGTGTTAAAAGTCTGTATGCCCATTGCCTTACTTCATCCTCACGGCAACCCCAGGAGGAGCAGGCATGAGTATTAGCCCCATTTTGTAGATGAAGAACCAGATTTTGAGAGATGATTATTTCCCAAAGAGAGTGGTAGAACTGGATTTCCAGGCATGCTCTCTGACTTGCCCCTCTCGGTCCAGGAATGTGGAGGAAGGTGATTCACGGGGCAGAGGCTGACTGTGGGAACCTGGGCTGCTGTCCGTTGTGTCTGCGGAGACTGGACTTCATTGAGAAGGTCCGAGGAGGCCCGCAGCTGGTGAGCCCCACCCTGGACACCAGGATTAAAGAGGCACACGGAAAGAGTCCGTTCATCAAGTAGAAATGCTCCTTGACCACAGGTTTCTGAAGAAAAGAACATGCAGAATATAAAAATGAATGCGGGCCCCTGTGTGGTTGCTACACTCAATCGTTCAGTGAACTGTACTCGGATGCTTTGTGTACCTTTTTTTGTGTGTAGCATGGCCGTGGTCTAAGAGATTGAATATGCAAATGCACACCGGGCAGACCGTAATAAAAGTAGAACTCTGACCCACAACATGCAGAAACCAGCCCAGGAAGTCAGCCTGCGATCTGCCAGTCAGACTTGCAGGAAGTCAGACCACTGTCTCTAACAACGGGTCCAGCAAGCCAAGCAGTAACCCCCGTAACAATGAGCACAAAACAGCCAGGACTTGATTAATAACTAAATATGCACCCCGGGCCATCATAGGAGCCCCTCTCTGCCCCCTTCCAATCAGGGCTCACCTGGAGCCTGCCCTCCTTCCACCACAAAGCTTCCCCCTCCCTCTGCTTGACTCCGAGTCTCTGGCCAAAACACAAGTGACACTGGCCGATTCTCTTGCTATTGCATTTGCCTGTTCTCATTCGTCTGGTCTTTATGTCCACAAATGTCTGTTGAATAAAATAATTAAACATTTCCTCTAAAAAGGTTCATACACATGAAATGGGGACTAATATTTGGGAGCTTTGGGTAAGCTGGGTTTTCAGAGGACACTGTTTTCATGCCAAATGTCAGAGTAAATGAACTATACACAATACATATAGTATGAGAAAAATGGATTTTGAGTTAATGGGGTTGAGATTAGGGCATCTGGTTTGCCAAGAGGAGAGGAGTTGCTTTGTTTGGGAATATTTTAAATAAAGTGAGAACACTTAGGTAAGTTTTACAGTCGTATTTCTGGCGCACATGATTGTATGAATAAATGTGAAAGTGTAGCAGTTAATTCCTGGTCTTGCTTGTCACAAATCTTAGGTGCTTTGCCTGTCTGACACGTACTCAGACAAGCCATCTGTCCTGCATTTGATTTTAATCATAGACAATGAATGTTAAAGCTCTGTTATTTGTCAGACATTGGACAACTATGTGCAGGACCTAACTTTCAAAGGAAAAAAAAAAAAACATGTACAAGGAGGCCTGACTATGAATTAAAAGCAATTTGACTAAGTAAATTATAAATCTTCCATAATCTCATCCAGCTCTGCTTACAGCCGGTCTTGCTTTGTGAGTCTGGGGGAAACCAAATGAGACAAAGTTTCTGCCTTTCTCTCTCTGGTCTGTTTCCTTGGCAACCATAATCTTTATCTGCACAAAGATGAGGGCCTGCTTCGCGCGCGGAAAGGCAGTTGGAATTTCAGCAAAGTCTCTAATCCTTCGCTTGTGTTATCAGATGATTTGTTTTGTTATGAGAAGTTATTTTACACCCACTTTTCGGACGGTGCTGGGCGTGTGTATCAGATACCCCAGCAAGGCTGAGGATTTTTCCTCCCCGCCAATATATATACACTAACGTTGTAACCACAAGGCAGATGAAATCAGCCTCTTGGTAGACATACACGAGGCACCTGCAAAGTGAGAACTAAAATGTCTCTCTCTGAGGTTCCGACATATACATCACCTCTAAGTGGCAAACAGCCCTGTTCCACTCAGCCA